GAGCAGTAATGAGTTACAAGCGTTTTTTTATTTTTGACACACTCTCTGAGGTTTGACAATAAAACCACAAGTGGAGAAAATCGAAAAGTAAAAATTTAGAGTAGCTAAGACCAGGGTTGCCAGATTGGCCACTTCATGGTCAAATCTGTAAATCTGGCTACCGCAAAAAAAATAGTCAACTCATCTGCAATTTGGCTTTGTTTGGCTTTTTTGTTCCATTTTTATTTTACTGTTGTTGGCATGATCTGAATAATCATTGGTACAATATATATATATATATATATATATATATATATATATATATATATATATATATATATATATATATATATATATATATATAAATAGTATTGCGTACTAAGGTAAGCAATCTGACTTCATACTGAAATAGCCTGCTGCTGGGGGCTTCAGTACATACATCGACTGATAAATAGCCTGACTCGCAGTGGAGTGCTGTTACATCGACTGAGGGTTTGGGATGGAGAAGCAATCGTTTTATTCATCATTCTTCGTTTTTTCTTCTTCTTTTTTGAAAAAAACAATATAGCTTAAGGTAAGCAGAAAAAGTGAGCAAATGCTTATCAAAACACGCTTTAGTAAGTGTATTTTGTAATTATTTTAATTTTAATATACATATACATATATATATATATATATATATATATATATATATATATATATATATATATATATATATATATATATATATATATATATATATATATATATATATTTATTAGACACCAGCAATTTTAGGGACTTTATCACTTCAAGCTAGAGTAATTACCTTATAAGAGAGTAGAGAGTATTTGGGGAAAAAAGTAACTTTTAAAGTTGAGTTGGATCTTATTTTAAAAATAAGCATTAAAATTCCAACTTAAAAGACTTGCTATAAGTCACCATTTTTATTGGATATATCAGGGTGTCCACTCTGCTGGATAAACTAAAAGAACTAGAAAGGACTGTTTTTGAAAAACATGCTAAAAAACTGGAAAATGTATTTTTTGTGCATCATTGATTCAATGATTACGAAAAATACATTTTCTAGTTATTCCATCATGTTCTTTAAAAACAGCCTTATACATTTTTTCTAGCTGTTCCAGTTTGGATACCCTGTATATTATGACATTCGGCATTAAAAAAATGTAAACAAAGCAAAAAGTAGAATATGAAATTAGTAAAATAAAGATTGTGCAAGAATTTTACTTACTGCTATTTTTAAGGATTATATATATATATATATATATATATTATCAAATTATCTAAATTTATTACAATAATACAAAAATGCCTCCTGTAAGAAAAACTAGACGGTGTAATTTATATTGTGTTAGCCTTTTAATCTTCCTATTACAGTTCTAGTAACTTATGGTGATGTAGCAAGATTTTTTTACAAATTGAAAGATTTAGATGGTATTAAAGACAAAAATATTATTATTCAAATAACACTTTGTAGTTTAAAAGAAATATGGTTCAATAGCAAATCCAAAGTTTGTTTTGTGTAAAAAGTTTGTTTTGTTATTTCCAATTATAAAGTTTTTATGATGTATGTAAAAATTGTAAAGATTTTATGATATATAATTTGGGAAATGGGTAAGAAAAGGTTGGAAACCACTGTTTTAGGTAAAGATAATGGTTTAGTAGCTTGTCTTGAAAGAATATTGAAAAGAAGAATTCATTTAACTGGCTGTCTTCTACATGTTAATGAGTTACCATTGCATCATTTAATTTCTAAACTTGATGATTCTTCTAATAGCTCAAATAATTATTCGGGTAATCTAAATAATCACAAATCTAAATAATAATACTATTTTATATTTTTTCTAAATAACCTAAATAATAATACTATTTTATATTCTTGTTGATAATAATATTAATAGCAACATTATTAAAATTTTCAGAAACTCTATTTTTTACCTAAGAGTTTTATTGCTTTACTTTATTCTGATAAGCATAATTATAAATTATTATTATTAGTAAAAAATTATAACCATTAATATTAATATATTTGATCAAATAATGAAAATAATATTTTAAAGGACCAGTTGGAAAATCTTTGACAAATCCAATTCATTTAAATTTAACTGTTGACTTCATACAAGTTAAGACAGGCGTTGAATATCCTCCTCCATGTGTTTTAAAAGACCTCTCAGCTGACTAGAGAATGCTACTGGAATACAGTATTGGAATTTCTAGAGGGTTTTCAGACAAAAAGTATTGGGGAAAAAAATATAGGTGTCTTGTTTTGTAAATCATTTGTTCTTGATATTTTTCCTATTATTTAGTTTGTTCGAAATTTATGTAAATATGTATTTATTAATGTGTGATTTACTATTAAATTATACAAATAATTAATTTTTATATATGAAAGATTATATTTTTAGGCCCTATTTGTCATGCAAGGTGGCTGACAACAGCAGTGTGGATCATGGCACTATACACAAGAACAATCAATCCCAGTAGAGAACTCAAAATCTTTGTTGAATATATTCAAACAGTATATACTCCAATGTGGTTTAATATAAAAAAGTCTAAAAGTTCCACAGAGGGGCTTAAACACTTTTTTCAATTTATTCAGCAAATTTTGAGGTTGGATATTGAAGTTCAAAATATTACATTGTTCATAATTTATTGAAGCTCTTTTGTCTCCAACCTGAGAATTTTATTGCTGCTCTATTTTATTCTGAAAAGCTCTAAATAAGAATCCTAAAAATGGATTAAAAGATGGGTTAATACCATTCCAGTTAATGATTGTAAAAAATAGACTGTTATGACCCCCAGTTATAAATTTGTAAAAAATAGACTGTTATGACCTCCCTTGTGATATCAGATATCAAGATATATCAAATGAGAAGCTTTTGAATATGAGTCTGAATCAAGGAAAGGCTCCCAACTTGTGCCATTTGCAAATGGTTGAAAAATCAGTGAAAATGACTGATGCTAGTGGAAAATCTATTAACCTCATGAAAAGAAATGCTCTTTTTCTAGCTAAATGCAAAAGTCAAAAGAAACGAAAATAATTTAAAACAAAAAAAGAATATATGTTGTAATTTGTTATCATTTCTTTAAATTAATGTATTTGGTAATATGTTTATTTATTATTAATATCATTTTGGTTCAGCAGTAAAAGTATAATATATTTAGTAGTAGTTCACTTGCTGAATAAAATGTGTACGAAATAAAATGGGGCATAATAAAATATTGTTTCTTTGGGTGATGCAGGATAGGGGGAGGGAGGGGGAAGATGATTGTTAACACCTGCCAGCCATTTAGTCACCACCCTTAAAAATAATTTTTTTCTTTTGCTTCTGTATATTAGAATAAACCCTGATAAAAAGTGCTGTAACAACATAACATTGTTTATGCTTAAATCCATTTTTCAGTTAATTTTTTATTGAAAACAGCTCATTTTTAAGGTTATGATAACAATTATTTTTCCAACACCCTAAAAATAACCTTAAAAATCTAAGTTAAAATTATTTATATTTC